GCTGAACTGCTGAGCCTCACAGTGCCCAGGCTCCCTAATGAGTGTATGTCCGCTGTAGCCAAGGGGTAGCAGCTGCATGTCGATAATGTTTAGATTGATTAGATTTACTAGATGCTGCTGCAGCAGACTCCAACACTGCATGCTTCATCTTTTCTTCTTTGTTTTCGCTATGTGCACCGGTGTAAAAGTACATTTTTACGAAGATGGATCAATAGGCTGTCCTCAGCTGAACTTTAAAGTACTTCTCACTGTTAATCTCTTAGCACTATTAAATTAAAGACCGCCTAATACAAACTTATAGCTTCAGTACTGCACTGTAGATGCCCCTCAGTTTACTTAGGCCCCGCCTCCACTGTGTCTTCCTCTCTAGAGCCCGATTCAGCAGTGAATCCACTATGCACCCAATATGTCTAAAAAATGCATATATCGCTGTTTATCTGCATCACCATGCACAGTAGATGGAGGAGCTCACTTGCTGCATGCACTTTGGGGCTTGTACAGCACAGGCGCATGCAAACAGAAGCCCTGTAGGCTTGAAGAAGCAATCGAAGGCTGCGAGAAGATAGCGAGTGTATTCTCAGTTCAACAAAGGGAAAGGCAAGGGGAAGAAGCCAGAAGCCCTTCCTTCTTACTTCAGCTAAAGCCCCCTCAAACACTTAATTTAACAAAGCCTTAAGTAGCTGTTGTTTTGTCGTGTTGAGTTTATTCAGGTGTCTCCGCATCTGATTTGCTGCGTAATTTGCCCCCTTTTTCTCTACCCTTATATCCTCTACTAGCTTGTTAAGACTAAGAGAAACGTGTTCTTTTATTTCTTTATGTTTTGTTCTTTTTATACTGTACAGGGAGCTACGGCACCTACCTATTTGACTGTATTATCTGTGTGCTGCTGACCTGCTTGGCTTCTTCGTTGGCTATCTTTTTGAAGAATTAAACAAAAGATAGTAAGGGTATTTTAATGCCTTTGCTGCTTTAAAAAGAGTTTTTAAAAGCTTCTTTTCATTTATAAAATCAGCTTCAGGAAGCCGCTTGCTGCTGCAGTGATGAGAGAATGCTGCACTTCAGACGGCTCTAAGGAGGCGGCGTGGGAGTTGTGCGTATGTTGGTGTGTAAATAATATAAATTATAATTAAAATTATATATATAATCTTCTTTTTATATTTAATTTTAAAAACAACAAATATGCAGCAGCAGAAAAGCTCCACTGGTAGCCGCGCCGCCGACCAGCCGTTGCAGCAACAGACCGCACCAGCGGCAGCAGCAGCAGCAGCAGCAGCAGCAGCAGCAGCTGCTGCTGCTGCTGCTGCCCGTTGAGTGAACAACTCTTCTTTTTCTCCGTGGTTTGTCTTGGCTAGTTTTTAATTCTCTTTTTAATTAAGAATTTAAACAAAGAGCTTTTATTTTAAAACACAGATATCTACAAGAAACTTAAGAGAGGGCAGCAGCAGCAGCAGCAGTCGGCAGCTGCAGCGCCGCCGACAGCGCAGCAGCTGTACAAAGGCTGCATGCTTTTCCCCCTGTTTTTCTATTCTCTTTGTTGACTGTTCTCTTCTTATACCTTGCAAATACTGCAGCAGAAGGTTGCTGCTGCCTGATGCTACCAGGAGGCCCCCCTGCAGCAAACCAGCAGCAGCTATGAGGGCCCAGCGCAGCCGCCGTGCGGCTGCTGCAGCACTACTGGCTGCCTTTTGTGTTGTTTACAGCAGCAGCGTTTTTGTTGTTTGTTTCTCCTTCAAAGATCTGTTTCCAGGTGCGCAGAGAGAGCAGCAGACGCTGCCTACAGCAGCAGCTGCAGCACCAGCAGCAACAACAGCAACGGGGGATGTTGCTGCTGCTGCTCTCTTTGGTGGGGGCTTCTTCGGCGACTCTCCCGCCCACAAGGCAGAGTCTGAAGGGACAGACGAAGCCTCCAGCAGCAGCAGCAGCAGCAGCAGCAAGGGCTTTACTTCTAAAGTGGCGCGCTTGCTGCAGCAATCTGTTACTGCAGCAACCAGTGTAACCTCGGACGCTGCAGAAGCAGCACAGGATGCAGCAGCAGCAGCAGCAGAAGCAGCAAAAGATACAGCAACATCAACAGGAGAAGGCGTAGAGAGAGCTGCTAAAGACGCGTGGAGTTGGCTGGGAGGGGAGGGCCCCCAGCGAGCAGCAGAAGCAGCTCGTCATGCAACAGAGGAAGCAGCAGCAGCAGCAGCAGAAGCAGCAGCAGGAGCAGCAAAGGAGGCTCAGGATGGCTTGTTTGCATTAGGTGCGATGCTGCAGGAAGCAGCACCCGGTGCTGCGGACGCAGCGCTCCAAGCAGCTAGGCAGACAACAGCAGCAGCAACAGCAGCAGCAGGAGCAGCTGCACGAGATCTCTCTCTTAAAGCTAAAGATGCGCAGTCAGCTTTTGCTTCTTGGGCAGCAGATGTGAGAGAAGCAATGCAGCAGAGTTCAAGCGAGACGCTGCTGCAGTCTGCATCTGAAGCAGCAGAAAGAACAGCAGCAGCAGCAGAAGCCGCCCGACGCGCAGCAGCAGATGCAGCAACAAAGGCAGCAGCAGCAGCGAAGCAAGCTCAGCGCACTCTATCTGTACTAGGGAGACGAGTGGAAGCAGGGTCTTCTGAAGCAGCAGCGGCAGCAGCAAATGCAGCAAAGGAGACTGCACATAAGGCAGAAGAAGCAGCAAGAGCAGTAGAGCTAGCAGCAGCAGATGCGAGAGCAGCATTAAGCTCTTGGGGCTCTATTGTAAGTAGCTGGGTTCATACAGGGTCTCGTGGGGTGCGTGAAGCAGCAGCAGGTGCAGCAGCAGCAGCAAAACGAGCCAGCAGCACAATGGAAGGCTTAGCAGACACTGCAGCAGCAGCAGCAAGCACCCTTGATACAGCAGCAGAGATGGTTTCACAGGGAACAGAGATAGCAGAAGATAAAACAGATAAAGTAATAGCAGCACTGAGCACAGACATCTCTAAGCCCCTCCTTGCTACTGCAGTACGCTGGCCCTGGACGGCGACGGAGCAGCAGCAGCAGCAGCAGCAGCAGCAGCAGGGGGAGGAGTGTGACTGCTCTTCCGACGAGTCAAAGGATGCATGCGCATGCAACAGCAGCAGGAGCAGCAGCAATACACACAAAGAATCCGTTCTAGAGGCAGCAAAGCGCCTTGTGGGGCTTGGAGCTGCAGCAGCCGACGCAGCAGAGGGGCCTGCTGCTTCTCCTGCTGCTGATGCTGCTGCTGATGCTGCCGCGGGTGCAGCAGCAACAGCAGCAGAGAAACTTAAAGCAATTGTCTCCTCTTTGTCTCCTAGTCAAGCTGCAGCAGATCTGAGGCCTATAGACGGTGCAGCGTGGCTTGGGGGTCTCAGCTCTTCTTCTGCTGCTGCTGATGCAGGTGTTGCTGCAGCGCAGCGTGAAGAGGAGACAGCAGCAGACGCTGCAGCAGCAGCAGAAGAGACAGAGATAAAAGAAGCACTGCCACCTATGTATAAGGAAGGCCCTCCCCTTGACTGCGAGCCCTTGATCCTCTTTAGAGACTGTCTCCGTCGCTGCGATGGTGAGGAAGCTGCTGCTGCTGCTACTGCTGCTGACGGCGACCAGAAGAAGCAGCAGCAGAAGCAGCCCCACGGGCTGAGCTCTTATGAATACAGCAACAAACGCTCCTGCTATGCTGCATGCAAATCTGCTTGGCTTGACAGCACACTTCCCGGGTGTATAGACAGCTCAGGTAAAGTAGTAGGGGGGACCCCTCCTGCTGCTAAGTTAAGATCTGCTAAAACAACAACAACAACAGCAGCAACAACAACGGCAGCAACAACAACAACAACAACAGCAGCAACAACAACAACAGCAGCAGCAACGACAGCTGCTGCTGCTGCTGATGGTGATGGTGATGATGCTGCTGCTCGCAGCGCTGCTGGCTCTTCTTGGGGGGCTTTCTTTAAACGCATGCAGAAGAAAGACGAAGCAGCAGCTGAAGAAGAAGAGAAAAATAAAACAGAGCCAAGAGCAGACAGCAGCCTCCTCTCTTTGTTTTCATTTAGTCAAAAGGACAGCACCACAACAACAACAGCAGCACCGGAGAGCAGCGGCTTCTTCTCGTTCTTTAGGGGCACTTCTCCTGCTGCTGCAGCACAGACAGAGACAGATGCTGCTGCTGCTGCAGCAGAAGAAAAAGAACAGCAGCAGCAGCAACATGCAGATGAACACAAACAAGGCTGGATGAAAGGACTGCAGCAGCTGCTCAAGTTGGGGGGCCCCAGCAGCAGCACAAAGGAGACAGAGGAGACAGCAGCAGCAGCAGCAGCAGAAGGAGAAGCAGCAGCAGCAGCAACAGGAGACAACGCCAGCGAAGCTAAAGAGGAACTTGTAGGCCGGGGTTCGAACCCTATCCTGCTAGGAACTGCTGCTGCAGTGCTGCTGCTCGCGATTATATTTGTTGCTTCCTTGCTGAATCGCAGGGGGGGCAGCCGCAGAGACAGACAAACAACCAGCAGCAGCAATCTGCAGGGTAGCAGCACTCAAAGAGACATGCAGAGACCCCTAATCGTCTCTGAATCCTGAAGTAGAGACACTGAGACACACGCCCCTGCTGCTGCTGCTGCTGCTGCTGCTGCTGTAGCTGTAGCTGCCGCGCCAACAGCAAACCAGCGATACAAGAGGAAACAGCAGCATCATCAAAACTAAATGCTGCAGCAGAAGCAGCAGCAGCAGCACAACTTCGGCAGCAAAAGGTGTAGCAGCATAAGTAGCAGCGAGAAAAGCAGCCCCAGCAGGAGCAGCAAAAGCGGCAGCGACTGCAGCAGCAGCAGCTCCAGCAAATACTATAGCTTCAGCCCCACAGACGGGCACAATAACAACAACCCCACCCTCTGTAAGACACCGTAGAGCTTGCTGCTGGCCTAGCAGCAGCAGCAGCAGTAGCACAAGCAGCAGCACAAGCAGCGTAGCAGCGACTGCATGCATGCACCCCTCTCTAGATTTAGTTTGTATTGAGATTCCGCTGAAGAGCAGTTGCCTCGCTGCACCTCTCTTCTTTTTCTCTCTTCTTTTATATAACCCCACAACGAACAATAAAGATTTAAGATTAGGGGTTTAAGGCTTATGATTTATGATTTAGGGTTTAGGGTGTAGGGTTTAGGGTTTAGGGTTTAGGGTATGGGGCTTAGCTTCTTCTTATTTAGGGTTTGTAACAGGTTTGCTGCTTCTCACCCTCTGAGGTGTACGTACACCTCAACATAAACCCTTTATAGATTCTTAGGGCTGCTTCAAACAGAAGGGGCCCTTAAGTATCCCACTAAAGCAGCAGCAGCAGCAGCAGCAGCAGCACATGGTTATGCTACTGCCGCAGCAGCAGCAGCAGAGCCTGCTACTACAGTAGCAACAGCAGCAGACTAGCAACAGCACCAGGAGAGCTTACCCTGCATAAATATATATACGTATATATATATATATATTATCATACATATGTTAATATATGTAAATATATAAACAAAGAGCGGAAGCAAGACAAGCATATCTATATATACATATATATATATATAAATATATATATATATATATGTATATATATATATATATATATATAAGCATATGTGTATATGAATATAATATACGAATAAAAATATATAATCTGTTATGTATGTATATTATGCTGCATGCAGATAAGGAGTAATAACAACAACAATATAACAAATAAATAATAGTGTAATTATAAGGGCTGCATGCAGATAAAATATTTTGTTTATCTCAACTTATTTATATTAATATTTATTTTGCTGCTTTGTTTGTTTATTTTCTACCTCTGTTTGTTTAATTATTTGTTTATTATAATATAATAATATAATAATAATATCTGCCTTTCTTCTTCATGCAACAGAAAGCATATACAATTATATTTATATTTAATTACAATAATTTACTTCTCTATGACATTAGGGTTTAGGGTTTAGGGTTTAGGGTTTAGGGGGGCCCCTTGCAGTCCCTTCTTCTGCGGGCAGGAGGGGCCCCCCCATATATTTTATCTCTTTCTTCTGTTTTTATTTTAGTTTTGTAGTTTGCTTTGTCTGTCGTTTGTTTCATTAGCTAATTATTTGTTCTTCTGCTGCAGCAGCAGCAGCAGCAGCAGCAGCAGCAAGTAGCTCACTCGCCTTGGCCCCTGGGGGCCCCTGGGGGCCTCTCTCTACGTTGTCTCCTTTGCTGCAGTTAGTCTCCCTACCTAATTGATATTAATCTGCTGCTGCTGCTGCATGCAGCAGCAGCAGGATCAGCAACAGGAGCAGCAATATGCATCATAGACAGCATCAGGGCCCAGCTGCAGCAGCAGCAACAGCAGCAGGATCTGCTGCTGCTGCTGCTGGGCAATGGGGCAGCAGCAGCACCGTCTCTTCTCGTGTTGCTGCACTGCTTGCTGCTGCTCGCCATGCCCCCTTCTCAGCAGCAGCAAAAAAAGCAATTAAGCTGCTGGAGGCCCCAACTGCCTTTGCATGCAGCAGCGGCTTGCGCAAGCTGAAGCAGCTGCTGCTGCAGTTTGCACATCTACAGAAGGAGAGACAGGTTGCGTTAGAGCTGCTGCTGCTTGCTCTAGAACATGGGTCCCTCTCGGGGGCCCCACAGCAAACACCTGCTGCTGCTGCTGCTGCTAGTGCTGCTGTTGCTGTTGCATTCAGTGGGGAGCAGCAGCTGCCCTGCGCTGCGTTTCTGCAGCCGCCAGCAGCAGCAGCAGCAGCGGTGCAGCCTGCAGCAGCAGCAGCAGCAACAGCAGCAGATGAATTGCTGCGCCGCACCTGCCGCAGCGAAGCCTTAGCATGTCTCCTTGACCTTATTGAGGAGGGGGCCCTAGGGGCTCAGCAGCTTACTGATGCACTGCATGCACGCCTTGCTGCTGCTCGCAGCAGCAGCAGCAGCAGCAGCAGCATTGAGCAGATGCTGCCACCGAATATGCAGCTGCTGCTGGTGCAGCGACTCCTCGATCTTGCGCTTCAAGACAAATTGCTGCCCGCTTCACCGCAGCAGCAGCAGAAACAGCAGCAGCAGCAGCAGCAGCAAGTGTTGCGGCTACAGCAAGCAGCAGCAACAATTCGTGATGCTCTTGTGAGGCTATGCCACTTCTGCCCCCGTCTCTGTCTTGCTGCTGTTGAGGCTGTTTCCTGTCTCCTCGAGACAACAGCAAGCAGCAGCAGCAGCAGCAGCAAGAGCATCCCTTTTGTTGCGTTCAGCAGCCTGCTTGAGCCCACCTTGCTGGTGTCTCTGCAGCTACTGCTCGGGTACAGCAACAGCAGCAGCAGCAGCAGCGGCAGCTGTTCTCTGCTTCTTCTTGCTGTGAATCGGCTGCTGCGCTGCACTGAGCTGTTGGGGAAGGCGGAGCTGCAGGAAGCTGCCCACCAGTTGCAGCAGCAGCAGCAGCAGCAGCAACAGCAGCAGCAGCAGCAACAGCAGCAGCAGGGCACAAGGAGCGACAGATTGCTGCATCTAGCTTTATCTATTTTAGTGCGGGTGCGCGATGTTGAGGTATTAAGCTGCTGCTTGTCTGCTGCCCTGAGAACAGCTGAGCCTTCTGCTGCTGCTCTTGCTGCATTGCAGCAGCAAACCGCAAGCAGCAGCAGTAGCAAGAGCAGCAGCAGCAGCAGCACTGACGGCAGCAGCACGGAAGCCTGCTCGAGATTGCTGCTGCAGCTGCAGCAGCAGCAGCAGCAAGCGCGAGCGGAGCGCCTCCTATGGGAGTGCGCCTGCGGTCTGTACACCGCAAGGGAGCAGCAGAAAGACCCCACAACTTTGCTGCAGCAGCTGCTGCGGTGCCTCAATCTTTTTTCTCCTTTAGAGGTCCACATCCCTTCAACCAGCAGCAGCAGCAGCAGCAGCAGCAGCAGCAGCAGCAGGCTTTCAATTGGACTGTGGCGAGTCAGCTGCGTTTCTGTGGGGTGGTTGCTGTGGAGTGAAGCAGCAACAGAAGCAAGTGCTGCGCCGTTGTTGTTGCTGCTGCTGCAGGCTGTTGATCGCTTGGTGCAGCTGCAGCCGCAGTTTCTCCCTTCCTTCACCAGCAGCAGCAGCAGCAGCAGCAACAGCAGCAGCGATAGCAGCAGGTGTACTAGCAAGGCTTGCCTCTACCGTGAGCAGGCCCTACGACGCATTTGCTGCTTCTCTCCATTGCTGCTGCTGCTGCTGCCGATAGTTACGCAGCAGCAACTTGCTGCTGGAGCCGGCTGCTGCAGCACCAAATTGAACGCCACGCTGCAGCAAACCGCCCGCAGCGCCCGTGCGCTGCTCTGCTCCGCAGCAGCAGCAGCAGCAGCGGCAGCTGTGTCCTCGTTAGAAGCAGCAGCAGGCGAAGAAGCAGAAGGAGGAGCAGAAGCAAAAGGAGCAGCAGCGGCTGGTGCTGCAGACGTTCCCCGTAGCTGCAGCTGCAGCAGCAACTGCAGCAGCAGCATTAGCTTGGAGGAGCTGTTTGGGGTGGAGAGGATAATGCTGCAGAGCAGCGGTGCTGCAGCAGCAATGCCACTCGCTTTAGCCTTGTGGGGTTTCCGTGTCTTAGATAGAGGTGCAGCAGAACAGCTGCTGGGTCCTGCAGCACTTGCTGCAGCTGAGCAGCAGCAGCAGCAGCAGCAGCAGCAGGAGGGGGCTGGCGTTGCTGCGGACTCCGCAGCGGCAGGAGCAGCAGCAGCGCAGCAACGGCTGCTGCTGCAGCAGCTGCTGCAGAGAGAACACAGCGAAGAGCTGCATAGCTCAGCCTTCCTTCTGTCTCTCCCTAGCTCGCTGCTGCAGCAGGGGCCCTACTCTTATTTGCTGTCTTGCTGCTTCCTTGCTGAGTCTATAATAGATAGACAGCAGGCGCTTGCTGCTGTTGCTACACTTATTGCTGCTGCACCTGCTGCTGCGCTGCAGCTGCTACCCGCCCTCCACTTTGCTGCTTCAAGGCCCCCCACGGCCCCAGTCGTGAGGACACTACTTCAATGGAGGACCCAGCAGCAGCAGCAGCAGCAGCAGCAGCAGCAGCAGAAAGATCAGCAGCAGCATCCGTTGCTTCCAGATGAATTTATCTTTTTCGATGGAGACGAGGCGCTGGCAGCAAAGGCCATTGCTGCTGCTAGCGCAGCAACAGCAACAGCAACAACAACAGCAGCAGGAACAGCAGCACCAGCATTAGCAACAGCAGCAGCAGCAGCAGCAGAAGATGAACGGCGGCAGCTTCTCCGCGGACTCAGCCACATCTTCGCTCTTTCTCTGCAGGCCCTCGCTTCCTTGGGAGTGCACAAAACAGCGGTGCTGCCGGCTTACAGGGCCCTAACGGACCTGCTGCCGCTGCAGCAGCAGCCGCAGCAGCAGCAGCAGCAGCAGGAAGCGATGCAGCAGGGGGCCCTTATGAATGTTGCACAAGACGAGTTGCTCTGCAAGGCAAAGGAAGTTTCTGCTGCTTCGGTTTGCTGCTGCTGCAGTGTGGTGTATGGCTCTGAAGCCTCCGGTGTGGGGTTGCGCTGCTGCAGTCGCTGCTGCTGCTGCAGCAGCTGCTGCTGGTGCAGCAGAGACCCGTTGGGGGCCGTTGCCTGCTGCCTTCAGCCTGTTACTCCGCAGCAGCTGCTGTCTGTTAATAGCAGGTGGTATCTCTTAATGCGGGGACTTGTGCGTCTTGCTGCTTTCGATGAGCTGCCTCACTCCAAGCTTGCTGCTGCTCCTGCTGCTGCTGCTGCTGCAGCTGGTGCTGCTGGTGATGGTCTCGGTGCTGGTGCTGCTGCAGCAGATGCAGGCCAAGCCAAGGGAGAGGCAGAAGAAGGAGGAGTAGCAGCAGGAGGTGCTGCTGCTGCTGCTGCTTCTGCTGCTGCTTCTGCTGCTGCGATTGATGCACCGTTTGTTTTACCTAAAGAGGCTTCGCCGCTGCAGCAGCTGCTGCTGGCATACTGCCTGCAGCAGCTAGAAGCAGTATCTCCCCGTGCTTTGCTGCAGTTCTTGCCGTTAATGGAGCAGCTGGTGGTGGGCTGCTGCAGCAGCAGCGGGTCCCAGCAACAGCAGCAACAGCAGCAGCAGCAGCAGCAGCAGCAGCAGTGGCTGCGAGACTATGCATGTGGGGTTACGCTGAGTACTTTAGGCCGCCTCTGCATGCAGAGATATCTCGAAGCCCCAAAATTTGTGCGAGTGCTGCGGCGGAAGGCCCCGATGTTGTTCAGCGCGTTGCATGCATCTGCTGCTGCTGTTGAGGGTTTTCTGCTTATTCTTTATGCTCTTTCCCAAGACCTAGCTGAGCAGATTGAATACGAGCAGCAGCAGCAGCAGCAGCAGCGCCTTGAGGCGCCCTCGCAGCAGCAACAGCAGCAGCAGCAGCAGCAGACAGAGAGCGGGCTGAGTGCAGAGTTAGAGACGCAGGTGCAGCAGCAGCTGCTGCTGCTGCAGGAAACATCGGAAGCAGGTTCTGCTTTTGCTCGATGCATATCTCTCCAAGCTGCGTCTCTAATACTGGGGCCTTTATACGCAGCAGCAACAGCAGCAGCAGCAGCAGGAACAACAGCAGCAGCAGCAGGGGGCCCCCTTAGGGTTGCTGCTGGCGAAAGGAATACAGTCAGATTTGCATGCAGAGAAGGGATTGAGGCAGCGCTGCTGCACCTACCAATGAAGCAGCAAGAAATAAGAGGTGCTGCTGCTCTTCTTGCTGCAGCAATGAAGAAGGAGCGTATCTTTAGGGGTAGCTCGGGGGCCCCCACAGCAGCAGACTTGCAGCGGCAGCAGCAGCAGCACAAACTAGGGACCCTTCTAGCCAGAAGAGCATCTGCTGCTGCTGTTGATGCTGCAGCAGAAGCACACAGCGAACGAGCGCTGCTGCGGCTGCTGCTATTCTCCGGCCCCAGAGCAGCAGCAGGCAACCTTAGTGAGGACAGAGGTACGCCCTGCTGCTGCTGCTGATACTGCTGCTGCTGATACTGCTGCTGCTGATACTGCTGCTGCTGCTGCTGATGCTGCTGACAGCGTTTACTCGCACCCTATCCCTTCTATGCATGCCTCCCACCAAAGGCCTGCTTATCACAGTAGCAGGAACAGCAGCAGCAGCAACGGCAGCAGCAGCAACAGCAGGACCA